AAATAAGCCATCCTTATCCAATTTCTACTCTTTTAAGCCCCTCAACTTTGGATATTTTGGCTCTTAAGCCCAAAACAATATTTTTCCACAATTTAGCCCTTAACTTACACTTAAATATTCCCAAAAATTTGGGATATTACACTCACCCCTCCTAAAAAGGAGTTTTGTCCCCAAAACTCAAATTGAGGACCATCTAGATTGGTGAATGGCTTCACACAATCTGAGGTAAAACAAATGTCCCACTCACTTTCTATGAACAGACATGGCTTACTATGCTTCCGCTGCGCCACTCTGATATCAAATCACGACTAATCTTAAAAAGCAGAACACTAATCACTTAACAAGATTTGCCATCAAATAAGCTACTAGAGGCTGGGGTAATACGGAAAGCACAAGGAATAGAAATAAATCCTGCCAAGGCCACAAAAGAAACAGTTGTGGGGTTACGCTTTGAACCCATCACAAGACGAGTTGGCAAAGAATGGCATGGATTTAAAGATGAGTACAACAAAACTTTGAACTCTATCAAAGACGGAAAAGCATCCAATGAATATATGGATCATAAATGAATGAACAAGTACATGGATGCCTTATAAATTATGCCACAAAACAAAGTTAACCAATAAACAAGGTCATGTTTAACAAAGCAATTGGAATCAAGAAACAGATTTTAGCAATTAACAAGAGTTAAAAGTTAGGACCATCAAATGACGTGAAATTTCCAAAATAGCATCAAAATGAAATCAGTAGAAAATATGAATGCTTGGAAGAATATTGGAACATAAGAGTGCAAGGTAGAATGCCTCAAAATTTTCAACAACAAAACGGCATTCACCTAGAGTCAAGATCAAATTTAACCAAGCAGTCAAAATTAAGAGACAAGAGTTAACCATGAAACAAGTAATAGAATTCCAAAAATTAGGCCCACAAAAGAGAGCCCACACAAGAGATTCCAATAATGACAATCAGAACACGGATTCAAGAGCAGATATAACCAGGATGTCAAAATCTAGCACCTTAAGTACTAGAATTAATTAACAGAACAAAGCAATGGCTGGGATCAAGATGCTTAGAAGATTACTGTCTTCCAATTAAAAGGGCAAACAAAAATCCAAGCAGCCAGATCAAAGAATCATTTCCCTTGGAACAAAACTCTAGGGCATCAAGTATTTCAAGGACTACCCCTTTACCTCGTAGCTCATGGAGGCGAGGCTAAGCAGATTTACAATCAAGTTATCCTAGAGTCAAGTCAAAGCTGAGACATCAAAATGAAATCAGTAGAAAATATGAATGCTTGGAAGAATATTGGAACATAAGAGTGCAAGGTAGAATGCCTCAAAATTTTCAACAACAAAACGGCATTCACCTAGAGTCAAGATCAAATTTAACCAAGCAGTCAAAATTAAGAGACAAGAGTTAACCATGAAACAAGTAATAGAATTCCAAAAATTAGGCCCACAAAAGAGAGCCCACACAAGAGATTCCAATAATGACAATCAGAACACGGATTCAAGAGCAGATATAACCAGGATGTCAAAATCTAGCACCTTAAGTACTAGAATTAATTAACAGAACAAAGCAATGGCTGGGATCAAGATGCTTAGAAGATTACTGTCTTCCAATTAAAAGGGCAAACAAAAATCCAAGCAGCCAGATCAAAGAATCATTTCCCTTGGAACAAAACTCTAGGGCATCAAGTATTTCAAGGACTACCCCTTTACCTCGTAGCTCATGGAGGCGAGGCTAAGCAGATTTACAATCAAGTTATCCTAGAGTCAAGTCAAAGCTGAGACATCAAGGATACAGAGATTAACACTTGCAAGAGACAAGAATTGAGGATACCTCATATAGGTATCTTCTAATAATCATCACCCCTCCTAAAGAGGTGTCCATATGAACAAAAACCAAGAATCAAGAAGATCATCAAGTATACTGACACAAGAACTAGCAGAATATGCAAGATTTGAGCAAGAGCAGTATACAGAATTTGAACAAGAGCCAATGTCAGAACAAGAATGTTTTCAAGGACAACTCAAACTAGATTCCAAGAACAGTGCAAGAATTAATTTTAGACAAGTATCAAGATAATGAAGATTTCAATAATCATTATCCATTTCTGGATTTCAATTTCAAGAACAAGTACAAAGCAATATCAAGAAAGATTCAAGATGGATTTCAAGAGTTTCAAGCAATTTCCAAGTATCAAGAATATAGAGATTGGCAACAATAGAGAGTTTAACTTTATGATAACTTGCCAATCTTCACAAAAAGACAACAATTTCAATTGAATGATCACTGCTCTTGATTAACCAATATAGAAAAATGAGCCACATGAAAAGACCATGAAGCTCCAAATGGAAAAAGTGAAACTTCACTATAAGACTTTCAAAAGATAAGGAGCAACGAAATTACCAAGTAATCCAGCTCCTAAAACACATCAAGAAAACATACAACATTGCAAAAATAGCCTTGAGTCTCTTACAAGGTAGGGGGTTGCCCATCTTCCACTAGTCATATGACAAACAGAACAAATCTCTCAACCAGCTATGTGGTAGAGACCAACAGGCTCACTGACAAAAGATCTCTGCAACTCCCCAGATTTCACAATTGTGGCAAAAGAGCACACAAAAATTCTATTCACGTAACAAGTCTAAACAAGTGCAGACTATCAGAAAATGACCAAGTTTCAAAACAAGGTCTTCAGGACATAACGGGCAAGATTACTTCCACAACTTCACACAGAGTATGAAGGCAAGAAACAAGAACAATCAGATCACCATCTCATCGAAATGGATGAGAAAATTCAGGCAACATGAATCAGAATCGTTCCTTATATACCCCATCACTCGTCTCACCACGGGTCTAAAATCCACTGGCTAGCCAAGTTCCAAACAAATCCTAGGTATTCAATTAAACCTAAGCTCGATATCACTTAATCTGCTCTAATGCCACTCAATCTGGAGGTGCTTAATTTAATCTTAAACTCTTAATTTAAACCTAAGCTCTTAATTTCAACCTAAGCTCTGATACCACAAAATCTTAATCAAACCCAAGCTCTGATACCACTAAATCTGTCATGCCCCAAAACCCAAATTCGAGGCGCGACAGACGCCGTACACTCATGAGACGAGTCCCACAAGTGCACAAGGCTCGAAACTTATCA